GGTGCTGCCCCCCGCCGGCGAGCCGGGCCGGGGTCAGCGGCGGGGAGCACACACTTGTTTCTTTAGGGGCTGCAACGTGTAATTTAGCTTGTCACGGAGGAATGTGCTCAATGCTTTTATTTAATCGGGAGTTTGCAAACCTGCTCGGGTGCCTTGTCTTCCTTTTTCCCCTTCCCTTCCCAGCCGGGGGTGGAGGGGAGAAGGAACACGGTGCTTTTGTCTCCGACCCTGTGGCTGCTGTCAGATGAATGGTTTTAGCGGCAGCTCTGTTCGCATGACTGGTTTGAACTCTGCCGGTGAACATGCCGCGGTTACGAACGGGCTGTTTCCAGCCCCAGCTCCCTCCCAACCTCAGCTGCATCCGATGTTTCCCTAGGCACTGGCATCAACCTTGGTACTTACTAGAAATGTGGTGCTGCAGCTTCCAGGGCATTTTCGGGAGAAGGAAAACACCGTGTGGATGCTCAAGCCTGGTCAAGGCTTAAAATGAGGAAGGGATAGGAGTGCTCAGCACCTGACTGTCCTGAAAAATGGGGTAAAGCTGCAATTTTTCCAGCTCTGTAGAGGCACCCAGTTCCCCCGCTCGCTGGCTGCCCCCCTGCAAACCCAACCAGCTGCCGTGCTGCTGGGGGCCCCGCTTATGAAGACATCCCTGCTCAGGAAAGGAGGGAGTTTAAGCATGTGTTTAAGTGCTTTCCTGAATGCAGGCCAGGTCCTGCGCTTTAGCAGAGCACAACCTCACCCATCTTCCTCGGTATCGCAGCAAGACAGGAGCCCAGATGCTCGGAGATGATCCTTTGTGCCTCTGGCAGTGCTGCAGAAACCTCTGCTGAACCCCTCCCTCCAGGAAAAAAAACCTAAAAAGTCCCAGGGAAGCAGGGTTGTCAGCACACACAGAAATGTTTTGCATCTTTGCTGCTGGGTAGAGATGCAAAGAAACCTGGAAAAAAAACCAGCCACCACCTTTGTTTGGAAAGAAGGAAATTGCTCTCTAATCGGGCATGTGGAAGTGAACTTGTGTGCTGACTCCAGAGGAATTTCAGCTGTTCCCCGGGGGGTTGTGATGGCTGTTTGGGTCACATCCCAGCTCTGATCTCGGACTTGCCTTTGGGAGCGGGATTCCTCAGCACGGAGCTGCTGGCATTTGAGGAATGAGTGGTGCTTGTTTCAGAAAACCAACAAACCGAGCACGTGTGTGTACAGCTCAGCCGTGTTCTTCTTCGCAGAAATTGCAGAATTCCCCCACTGAAATGGAAAAAAAAATTCAGGGAGCAGAAGTAAGCCCTAAGAGCTGTCTTCAGGACAAATATATTTGACCACACCGCTCTCATTAATGGCAGAGCAAGTTCAGGGGCTAAAACCCTCTGCTTGCCTCAAGCCCACACCTGCCAGCCCTGCTTTGTGCAGGTATTCTCACTGGGGATCCAAAGGCTGAACAAGTGCTGGGAGGATTAGGATGCCAGGGCTGTGAAGGTGTTGCTGCGTTATTATGGTTCCTATATCACCAGGAAATAAGAAAATTTAGCAGAGACCCCACCTGATTCCTCCAGAGGTCCCAGGGCAGGGGAATGATGGATTTTCTGGCTTCTGTGGGATGGAGGATGGGGAAGCATCTCTCTCATCTCTTGATTCAGATCCAGGAGGTTGGGGTCAGTGGAGGGGTAACAGGACAAAACCCTCTGCCCCATAATGACCTTAAAATATTGGAGCTGGAGCTTTGAGAGGTGCTTAGGAGGTCATCTCAATCATTTAGATAAACTTGGTGGTCCTCGGGCCAAGGATGCGTTGGTGAAGACTTTGCAGGTGGGCTGAGCGAGCGGGGAAAGTGGAGTCCCCAGCACAGAGCCGCCTCTGACACCACTGTCTGATAAACACGACATTTTTCCTCTCCTTTCCCGGCAAGAGTCCGAGGGCTGGGCTTAGGAGCCATGGGAATTAACAGGAGGCTTTCCATTGTGGGCTTTGGATCTTTGTCTGGATAAATAAATAGAAGGAAATAACAAATAACACGCTTCTAACAAATATTTTAGAAAGCATAAACGTCTGGCTTTCACCGTGACTCCATCCAAACCCCACAAAGGAAAAAATTTCCCTGTTTCTATGATGCTTTTCCATCCGCCTTTCCCCAGCGATTGGGAGTGTTAACGCAGGCACCTTGGCTGGAGAACACAGCTGGCCCGCGATGAAACCTGCGTGGGATTTCTCGGGGGGTGGTAAGTAACCTTCTCGGCCGACCACCTTTGTGAGCGAGGTTTGTGTTGGTATTTAAAGGACCCCCCCTTGTCTGCAGACTGTGTCCCCGTCCTCGGAGTCACCCTTTGCTGAGTGTGAGCGGCTCTATAAAAATAAACTCTGTATGGGGCTTTTCTGCGGGTTTCTAGCCTCTGCACTGAGGTTTCCACGTCTCCCTGCGTGCTGCTGCCTTGCAGCGACATCTGCTGCGCGATTCCAGGAGGAGAGCGGCGTTCGTTCCTGGGAAAGCTGTCCCGTTTGTCCGGGAAGGCTTGCGGCAAGGCCAGCTTTGGCTTTTTAAGGTGGGAGAAAAGGAAGTGGGGAAATGTGTTCCTTCCTCAGATAAATACATTTCTGTGGTCTGCGACTTCTCCAACCTGGCTCGGACCCGTGGCAGTGACGCTTTTTTGTTTTGCAAACTTCTCCCAGCCCAGCTTTGGGTGGGAAATGATGAAAAGTCTGCTGTTGCTCCTGGCACAAAGCTTGGGAAGAAATAATGCAGGTGCCTGCCTGCCCCGGAGCTGGCTTTGCACAGGGAAGAGGCAGCACAGCATGTCCCCATCCCCATGCTGTATTTTGGGGAGCCTCCAGGGAGGGAGATGTGAGTACCGACACATGGGGAGGACGTACCGCTGCTTGTCTCGGCCAAAGAACTGCCACGGGGTTGGAACAATGAGCCGGCTTTTCTGTTTTCTTTCCTGCTAACTCTGCTCTCTGTCTCCAGTTGTAGGATTTTGGCAGAGCTGGCCATGATGTTATGGTTTGTGGTTGGTGCCCTCTTCCCAGCGCTGCTCCTGGCCGCGCCGCCTCCCATAAACAAGCTCGCCCTCTTCCCGGACAAGAGCGCTTGGTGCGAGGCCAAGAACATCACCCAGATCGTGGGGCACAGCGGCTGCGAGTCCAAGTCCATCCAGAACAGGTACGGATCCACGCTCAGCGCAGAGCTGCATGCAGCTGATTTCCATTTGCAGATGGCACCGGGGTGGCTTTGGGGACTGTCACTTGCCCAAGAAGCAAGGCACGATGTCCTGCCTCTGCCTGGCTGCCTTCTGTCCATCTCAGTGGAAGGAAAAATCTCCTTCTGCCTTTGCTGGACAGAGCAGGCACCTCCCCTGAGCCCTCACCCCTCCTGTTGTCCCTGCAGGGCCTGCCTGGGACAGTGTTTCAGCTACAGCGTCCCCAACACCTTCCCGCAGTCCACGGAGTCCCTGGTTCACTGCGACTCCTGCATGCCAGCCCAGTCCATGTGGGAAATCGTGAGTATCCCTCCACGGACCTCGCTCAGGGGCTCCCAACTCTGCTCTGCCACCTTCATTCTCCTTCCCCGAGGTTTCCCCACTCCATTTCCTCCCAGGGTGTCTCTCGGGTGACTCTGTCCTGTCCTGAGCTGCCTGGGTGGAAGCAACGTGGCTGCTGTGACGGATGATGCGTTTGTCACTCTGCAGAACGCATCCCCTGTCAGTCCCTGCACTGTTCATCCCGCCTGCCCATTCTCTCCACCGCTCCCTTTGTCACCTCCTCCCACTTTGGGATTTTTTTGCCTCCTTTGATGTCCAGAAGTGCTTCCCACAGCCAGTCAGCCCTGCACAGCATGGTTTTGTGCCACCATTGATGCTGTCAGGGACATGAGCCCTGCCTCCCAGGCAAGCCTGGGCACCCGGGGAGCCGGCTTCAGCTCTGCTTTGCTTTCAGCTCAGACTTTGGGCAGTTGGCTTAGTCCAAACTATCTGAGATGCTCAGCAGCGTGTTTTATGGGTGGCCTTTGTGGTTACCACCGATATTTCTGTGCCTGTTACAGTGTCCTGCTTGACTCACTGCATTTTCCCTGTGTCCCTGCAGCATGTGACCTTGCAAGACATTCCCAGAGAGCTCTTGTCTTGCAGATTGTGGAGGTTCTGGCTTAGGACACCTATCACTTAAAAAACGCATTGCTTCTGGATTAAAATACCCCAAATCTGGCATGGGTCCATCCGGGTGTTGAGCGTGCGTGCTCACCCACTGTCCCTTGTCCCTCCACCCAGGTGACACTGGACTGTCCAGGCAATGACGAGATCCCCAGGGTTGACAAGCTGGTGGAGAAGATTCTTCACTGCAGCTGCCAGGCGTGCGGGAAGGAAGCGGGCCACGAGGGAGCCCTGTTCA